AGCGCTCCTGTTTCCTTCCTGTAGGTCCGGTGCGGTCTTAGGCCCAGCGCTATTTTCCCGGTTAAGCACTGGGGTCACTTAGAAGTTACTTAAAAGTTGTTCTCCAGGAACGAAATCACAAATGAAAGTGAGTGCAGCGAAACCAGGGGCCCTTTTCTTGCTCTCTAACTGGAAAATGAACTGATTCTTGCTAGGCAAATGATTTTAGTTCTTTTAATAAAGCAGCTAGATTATATGAAAATACAATTTAGGCCTTAACATCTCCGGTAATCTGAACCTGCCTTTAAGCAGTTAAGCTGGAGTTACATAAGTATCAAAGGTTAACAACTCACCAGTTTTTTAAAAATATTTACTATTTTTATGTGTACAAGTTTATTGCCATGTATGTAAGTGCTCCTGTCATGCAATGCCTGTGGAGGTCAGAAGAGGGCATGGGATCCCCTGGAACTGGAGTTACAGATGGTTGCCAGCCTCAACCTGGGTCCTCTACAAGAACAGCCAGTGCTCTTAACTACTGAGCCATCTCTTCAGACCCATAATTTTTAAAAAATTTTAACAATGGCATCTTGTGATCCTTTCTGAGCACCTAGTAGTTTAAAATTTTTTATGCTAAAGGGAGATAGTCTGCTTTAAAGAATTTTACTCCAAAGACCCATTTATGACAGCTACAATTGGCACCTTAGGTTTTTTTCTTCATTTGCAATTCCATAGCCCATGCTAATGTTCTGTTCATATATTAATAACAAAATATTTGAAAGCCTAAGCAGGGTCTTCCTAGGTTGCTCAGGGTCTTGAAAAGCTGAACCTGTTTTAGCCTTTTGAGCAGCTGGAATTACAGGTGTGTACTACTGGGATTACCTATTGTGGATATGACTGGTTAGCTTCACTTAGGGGCATCAAATACAAAGAGTATCTCATTTACCTGGAATGAAACTGTTCTGAGAATTCTCTTTTTGAATCATTACATTAAAAAGTTCCTTGAGCATTCAAAATATATCAAAAAGACTACATCTTTGTAGTACTTTATTAGGCTACATATTTATAGCACTTTGTTAACAATGGCTTCTCTGGGTCTTACTCTGTAGCCCAGCCTGAGCTCCAACTCTCCATCTACCACCCTCCTGCCTCAGCTTCCCAAAACGCTGGGATTACAGGGACATGCCATCACACCTGGCCTGTGCATTAAAAAAAAAAAGCTTTTAATTTAGATAACTGTAGAGTGACATGATTGTAGTAAATCCTATATTCTTCATCTGGTTTCTCTGTGGTAAAATCTTGCAGGAAATTGGTACCTCTCATTCCGATTTCACTAGTTTTATGTTCTCATTTGTGTACTTCGTTCTAGACGGTTTAACTGTGCTCAAATTTGGATGATCACTACAAGATACAGATGAGTTCCATCACCAGACGCTCCCCTAGCCTTTTACAGTCAGTCACCTTCCCATTTTGACTTCACCTACTCTCTAATTTTGTACCTTAAATAATATGATCTAAATGGAATTATACAAAATCTTTTACTCGGCCTAGTTCTCCATGCTCAATTCAAGATGTATTCAAATTTGTTCCTTTTGTGTACTAGTTTTTAACATGGAATCATTACAACTGCAGTCATCAGTTTTCCAAGCTCACTTGCATTACCAAGAGGTAGCATACTGTCAGCAAGAAATGAGACCACACACAGTAGACACCAGGTTTAGCAAAAAAAAACTCAGTATCTAGGACCACTATGGTGTACTAACCATATCCATTTTAGTTCATGGTGATAAATTTGAAGGTATAGCATGATCCTGAGTCATTAAGGAAACTATTAAAAATACGACAAAAAGGCATTTTAGGTCTACACCAAAAGTGTCATTGGTAATGTAGATAGTTGCATATTTAAAAGAGATTTTTTAAAAATTATTTTTATTTTACGTGTTTGAGCGTATTGCCTGCATGTATGTGAGTGCACCTGTGTCGTGCAATGCTGTGGAGGTCAGAAGAGGGATATGGATTCCGCTGGAACTGGAGTTAAGGACGGTTCGTAGACACCATGTGGGCACTGGGAATCGATCCCGGGTCCTCTGCAAGAGCTCTTAATCGCTGAGCCCTCTCTCCAGCCCCTAAAACAGAGATTTTTAAGCAGACATAAAGATCCTATAGAGCCCAACCAGTTCTTATTATAAAGTGCAATTTGAGGACTTCTTACTCTAGCATGTAATTATATAAGCTGAATACTTCCCAGCTTATTTTAGTGTAAAAACTTTGTATGTAACAAGAATTATAAAAAGTTAGAAGTTGAGGAAATGAAGGCCTAAAGAAAAGTAAACATGCCCAGAGAGCTTACAACTGGAATCCTGGCATCTACTTTAAGGCTTTTTACTCTGACTGTGCCAGTTCCTCAGAGCCACACATGAGCATGCTCAACAAATCCCAGGTGAGTTATCTTAGTATCAGTGATACGACAGACTAAATGGGATAGCTGAGTTCAATAGAGTAAACATAAAACAGCATCACAATGAACTTTATTATGAAATCCTTAACATGGCATTTTGTGAGGTGTATGCACATGTGTACAGGCACACACACCTGTACTTGAGTGGAAGAACAGAGGATGCTCTGCACCCTGCTCTGTCACTCTGCTTTATTCCCTTGAGACAGGGTCTGTTACTGAACCTGGAGCGAGGCTAGCAGCCAGCAAGCCCCAGCCCTCAGTACTTCTGCATCCTGTAGCACCTGAGTCACAGGTGTGGTCGTGTCTAGCTTTTGCATAGCTGCTAGGGATTCAAACTCAGGTCTTCATGCTTAAACAGCAAGTGCTCTTACCTACCGAGTCATCGCTCCAGTTCCAAAGCGGGGAGTTTTAAGTTGGTGCCTAGGATTAAAAGCACATATATTGGGGGGGGGGGGGACAAAAAAACCTACTAAAATTGCCCCTAGAGCTCAGTGTAGATTATTGCCACTTTTTATTTGTAGCTGAGTTCTAGTCGACTAGTGGTTTACATTTAGGGAACAGATTAAAATTGATAATATTAAAGCCAGAGCCAGCCAGGGCTACAAGACAAGACCTTGACTCAACACAAACAAGGGGCTGGAGAGATGGCTCAGCAGTTGAGAGCATACTGCTCTTGCAGAGGACCCAAGTTCAGTTCCCAGCACCCACATCAGGCAGCTCACAACCACTTGTAACTCTAGCTCCAGAGGGATCTAACACCTCTGGCGTGCAAACCCTCACGAGTGTGCTCACGTACACATAATTTGAAAAATAAATAAGCTGGGTATGGTGGCGCACGCCTTTAATCCCAGCATTCGGGAGGCAGAGGCAGGCAGATCTCTGTGAATTCAAGGCCAGCCTGGTCTACATAGTGAGTTCCAGGTCAGCTGGGGCTACAGGGAGACTGTCTCAAAAGACAAAAAAAAAAAAAAAAACCAAAAACATATGCACAGTTTTTTCTTTAAATAGAAAACTGCATGATGAAAGGCACAGGGGAAGAGACACACTGAACATTAAATTTTATGCTACCTCCCCAGACTACACACCAAGTCTAGGAAGTTGGGAAGAGTCCCTTTGTGTGTGGGGCGGGCAGGGTACAAAATAGCCACCCGGTACTTGTAGCATATTCCCAAGCTTAAATGACAGATTCTTGAGGTTATTTACAGTGCAAAGACTGACATTACACACATATACAAATAATTAGATATTATTCCTTTAATGAAGGTACTGGGGGGCTCAGCTTTAGGAACACTGGCTGCTCCTGCAGAGGATCCAGGTTTGGTTCCCAAACCCACATAGTGGCTAACAACCATTGTAACTCCAGTTCCAAAGATCAGACCCCCTCCATGAGCACACTTAGATACTTGCAGATAAAACACCCATACACATTTAAAAAAAGCTGATTTTTTAAACCATTCTCCCTTCAAGAAGTTATAAAGGGATCTAAACAGGATTTTTTTAAGTTTTCAGAATTTGAAAAAAAATTAATACTGACTTTATAAAGTGTTTCAAATTCTTGCTTTTAAACTTGAATAATTCTCTGAAGGGCCTCTTTAAAATGGGGCTAAGTAATTTGTCCAAAGCCAACAGGAGCTAATTAGGAGACTTAGGTCTAAAATCTGGGTTACTATCCATAAATAAACCTCTTTTCTAGAAAGATGAACTATCTCAGACAATAATTCCTTTAAGTTTTAACACAGCAAAATTTTGAATTAAAAAAAGAAAACTAAAACACTTCCCCTAATTTCATTTTGCAAGGTGTAAGAGGAACCCTGTTCTGCAATACCTGAGTGCACGGCTCATGAGAATAACAGAAGGCAGCCTGCAGACTATGCTAGACTGGAGCTGGGTATGGCAGGAGGCTTGAGATTAAAGGTCCCTTGTGTTACTTTTGCAGCTTCCCAAAGCCCACAGCTATAACTAATGCCACCTGCTGGCTAGACAGAACAACTGTTCATTGTAATAACTTGCATTTTGGGGGGAGGTGGGTGGGTACAGTATCTAGCACTGGTTAAACAGGCTTTACTGCTTAAGGTACATCCTTAGCCAATATCACTGCCTTTGTTGGGAAACAAAGATTTTTCTTTTGTTTTTTAAGACAAGGCCTCACATAGCCCAGACTGGGCTATGTTACAAACTCCGTATGTAACAGCACCACCTTGAACTCTCCATCCTCTTGCTTCCCCCTCACGAGTGCCGCGTTACAGGCGTGCACCACTCACACCTGGTATGTGAAGTGCCGCATCACAGGTGTGCACCACTCACACCTGGTGTGGCTTCTCAGGTTTTAATCTGAGTGATCGCCAGGTGTGTATCCTGAAATTTGCATTCTGAGACAAGATGTGGATTTTCAATGTAGCTAGTCCATATGCTAGCAAGTCAATTTGTTTTAAGGCTGTGATTGATAAGAAGCATTTTCCTATAGCACTAAAAAGTCATTTGCTGTACAATCTGGCAAATATGCAAAGTGACGACCGTGGTATCAGCTACAGCGAACAGCAGAAGCTACTTAAAAACAGAAACCCAATACAATGGAAGTGAAACAATTTTATTTCACAGTTGTCTTTAAAACTGCAAAGACACTATTTTCTTCATATAAAAACATTGGTATAGATACCTATACTTTCTAGAAAATGATTAGACAGACCCTTTCAAAGAAAATGCTCTCCCTTATATGGTTTCAGGGAAGTTGCTCAGAAAAAACTTACATCTGGACTGATTCCTAAAACATATTATCCCACCACTCTGCAGCTCTTGGTTCAAAGTACAGATCACTGTCACCAGTATGCACCCCCATATCCTGATGTCCCTGTATCCTTTATCACTTAATGTTCCATCGGTTCATCAGCCTTTTCTGCAGGTTCATCAGCAGCTTGTGAAGGCTTTAAAAGAGAAATGAGAAGATGTAAAATGAATACTTAATATTTACTCATCTACTCTTAAATCACAAGTATTACAATAGAAAAATTAGTGAGCCAGGCGTGGTAGCATGCATCTTTAATCCGGCACTTGTGAAGCAGAGGGAGGCAATCTCTGTGAGATCGAGGCCAGCCTGGTCTATATAGCGAGTTTCAGGCTAGCAGGGCTACAAGGAGACCCTGTCTCAAAAAAAAAAAGAGAGAGCGAGAAAAGGGGGTCAGGCTGACATCTTGGATGTTTAATTTTAGTACTTATCTCCTGTTAAAAATTCTGAATAAATTTTGTTTTTGTTTTTTGAGACAGGGTCTTCCTGGAGCCCCAGCTGGCCTGGAAGTCAATATGTAGACCAAGCTAGCCTAGCTCTCACAGAGATCCATCTGCCTCTGCTGGGTGAATATACCACCATGCTCAGCTCTGAACAAATTTTAAAACTACATAATTTCAGTTGTGAAAATCTGGAAGCCATCGAATACCCCACTATGTCTACCACTCGTCCTAAGAGCTGAAAGCTTTTCTTACTTCATCACTTCTAAACTTAAAATAGAACCAGCACTTTTGAGGCCTCCTTTCCTCTTTACCAACAAACGCTGCAAAACTATAATCAGAGCAGCCACACAGCACTCTCCCTAGTCTAGCAACTTCAATATAATCTTGTCCCCAAACAGCTCTCATGGTGTCCTTTCAAGATGAGAAAACAAAATTCATGCTGGAAAAATTTTTTCCTTCTGGTTTTTGTTTGGTTTTGGAGAAAAGGTTTCACTCTGTAGCCCAGGCTGACCTAGATCTCTATGTATGTAGACCAGATTGGCCTCAAACTCAGAGCAAGCCTCACGTCTCAACCTCCTATGTGTTGAGATTATCGGCATGATCCACTACACCTGGCTACAGAAGAAATTTCTTCACCACTTTTTCTTTAGGTTCCACAGCTATTAAGTAAGCATCAGTTAACAGCAAGTGCGTGCCATCTGTGTGGGTGCACGCCTGTAATCCCAGCCTTAGAGGTTGAGGCAAAAGGATCGTAAGATTGAGAAAGAGAAAAAAGCAAATACGTATTCTCAGGAAGACTCATAACCTGAGATTCACTTTTTTGTTTTTTTTTTTGTCTTTTTGAGACAGGGTCTCCCTGTAGCCCCAGTTGGCCTAGAACTCACTATGTAGACCAGGCTGGCCTTGAACTCACAGAGATCCGCCTGCCTCTGCCTCCTGAGTGCTGGGATTAAAGGCGTGCGCCACCATGCCTGGCTGAGATTCACATTTTAAATTTGAACCTGGGCTATTCCTGGGGTTCGCTTCACCCACATGATGTGCAAGTTGAGCTTGTGCCAGTTCTGAGTTTCAGCCTTACAGACCAGCAACATTGATGTTTGAACTTTTGGACGAGCAGAGCTACCACCTTGTCAGAGAGGCCCTGCTGAGTGAGAGGCCCTGTGACGACAGACAGAAGCCATCACTCTAGCTGTCTGTGGCCATCGAGCTGCCTTTCTGAGACACCTAGAAAGCAGGTGAACATAAGAGAGTGGTGAAGTGCCCCTTCACCGAGATGCAGCATTTGGGAAATCCCAAGTGAAACAGAACCATCCAGGCAGGCCTCAGTCAGCCACGGAACCATGAGAAATGCTTTTTAAGCCTATAAATAAATGTTGGGGATACTTTATAGTAACAGAAAACCAAGTCAACTCTTCTCCATTTTTGTGTTTAGGGAAATCACTGCCCCTTCAATATTTTACTCAGTCTATAATTCTGTTATTTGAACTATGGGCCTATCTCAATAACCAAAGACAAAAGTGGTGGAGTTACATGGTTGTGATAGGAACAGCAGTTTACAGGAGAAGTAAAGCCTCTTGTGTTATGATTAATAATATACCTGTGCCTTTCTCTGTGGCCTTTCTTCAAGACCTTCCAGGAATGGAGACACATCATCATCATCGTAGATAGTAAACTCCAAGTCTTTACCAACAATTCCAATGGAAACATTCTGAGGAGGGAAAGGTGAAAATTAGTGCATATGATAAAATGTTGGGAAAAAGTTTATGTAACACTTGAATTTAAAGTTTTAAAACTGTACGTAGGATTGAAAAGAAGCAAATTATGGCTTTTTCAATGATAGATTCAACATTCATTTTGGGTTACAAGTAACCTCAAAGGTCTACGTTATTTAGAAATAAAGTCTTTATCTAGATACTAAATAGTAATTACCCAAAGATGAACAAAATACCTTTATAATGCTGGCTAATGTTTCTTTAATGATGCTAACCATAGGTACCCCTTACTTGCTTTTATGACCATCAACAGTCCACTGCCTCCAACCCTCTCCCCTAGTGGTGAGGACTGGATTTAGAACAAGTACCCTACCACTGAACCATAGCCCCAGCCCCAATTGTCTCTTAAGACATTTCCTTTTAACATTCTCCAATCACCTTACGGCTGAAAACCCTGTTCCTATTTCACTGAGAAAACAGAAACCACTGGGCTGCAGAGATGGCTCAGTAATTAAGAGCACTTACTGCTCTTGCAGAGGACCTGGATTCAGTTCCCAGCACTCACGTGGCAGCTAACAATCTGTAACTTCCAGGGGATCTGATGCCCTCTTCTAGCAACTATGGGCACTGCATGATACAGGTGTACTTACATAAATGCAGGTAAATCACTCATACAGAAATAATAAAAATAATAAAATATTTTTAAAAATAAGCAACTGGAAGACAGGGGTCTCCAGAGTTTTCTTCTGATTACAATGAATGAAAAATTTCCCTCTTGGGGTTGGAGAGATGGCTCAGCCATTAAGAGCACTGGATGCTCTTGCAGAGGACCTGGGTTCAATTCCCAGCACTCATATGGTAGTTAACAACCATCTGTAACTCCAGTTCCAGGGGATCCAACACCCTCTTCTGGCCTCTGCAGGCATTGCATGACATAGGTGCACTTACACACATGCAGGCAACGCACTTATACACATAAAATGAGAATAAATTTTTTTTTTTAAAAGAAAAATTTCCTCTGGAAAACCAGCTTTTCCACTTCTGTGCTGTTAAAGGACAATGTTCTGCCATTTTCCTCACATTTGTTACATAGGTGCTTCACTTTACACTGCATTATCACAGCCACGCAGCAAATGTGTGATTCCTCCCATTTTACCACATCATCTTTTCCTAGTCACTATTCCATTTCTCTAGGCTCTGCAACAGTCACCCATCTCCTCCAAAGAGCCATTTCAGTTCCTCTTCTGTTCTCTCCAGATTCCATTCTTCTGAGGCCTTTCCCTCTCCAGTTCACTGAGACTATCCTGTCAAGTCCTAATGTAATGGTTAATTTCAATCCGCATCTTCCTCCATTTATTAGTTGTTCATGCTCTTCTTGGATGGTTCTTCTTGGACTTCAACAATGTCTCACTTTCCAGGTTTTAACTCCCACATCTCTGGTCATCTTTCTGAATCTCTTGTTGACACCTACTAATAATGTCTCACTCTGAAAAGGTTAGTGTCTTTCATCTAGTCCTCAAACTGCTTAACTAGTAGATCCATTTAGGACTCTCCCCTACTCTCTAAGTAGTATTTCTACATAAAAACTCCAAAATTTTAAACTTTAACCTGGACCACTCTCCATAGAAATCTCATGGTCACTGGTAACTGTTTACTATCACCAACTGAACAAAGTGGAATTTCAAATTTTATATGTCCCAAACTGACTGCCTGATCTTATCCTAAAACCTGTTCCTTCCATTGTCTTACCTAACAATGTAAAATCGTAACTCTCAAAAACCTTGGACATATCCTACCTCCACCCTAACAAAGTTAGCAAATATTTTTGCTCTAACTTCAGAATATCCAACATCAAATGACTTCCCTATCACTGCTCTGGGACACACACAATCTGCCTCTATTTCATCTGATTTCTTTCCTTCCCCTCTTCTTGTGCACCGACTCCAACCGTACTGACCCTCGATCCCTGAATATTGGCCTTAGGAGTTCTGCACGTGCCTAGAATCAAAATCTTGTTGTAGACATCTGTATGGCCCACTTACCTTCTTTAGAACTTTGCTTCACTTCACTTTGTTGGTGAGATCATTCTTGATCACTGTATTTTAAATTACACTCACTTCATTACTGACCTACACTCAATTGGCTATTTTTTCTCCTGTGTTACCACTCCTAGAGCATCTATCCCTTCTGATTCAGTAAGTGACTTACTATGTGTACATTGTCTACCCCCTACTAGACTCTAAGGTTAATGAAGGCCAAGACATTTATTTTATTATATTCTCAATGCCTAGAGAGTATCCATATACATAAATGCTCAATACACAAATATTCTTAACTAGAGTAATTAATACAGGAAGAGCATGGTGGTACATGCTTGTAATTCCAGTACTTGGGAGGTAGAAGTAGGAACACCAGGAGTTCACGGTCACCATTGTTAACACAGTAAGTTTGAGGCCAGCCTGGGCTCCTAGAGATCCTGTCTAAAAAAGAAAAACAACAAAAACCAGAAACAAAATAGATATGTCTATCTTCTGAAAAAAAAAAATTGAAGAACATTCAAATTTACTGGTTTTACTGCTTTAGACCTCAAAGCTGGATCACTTGGTGAATAGCTTAAAGGGAAAGAATGAGCCAAGGCAACCAAATTAAAAAATTTAAGCGTATACTATTTTATTACTTATAATTAAGAATTAAGCTATATAGCTATCTTAATCTAACTGTGATGCTTTTATTTGAGTTCATTATAAATAAAGTGATTTTATTAAAGAAAGATTTACACTACAATGTTAAAATCTACAATTGGGAAACATGAATTTACCTTTGTAGTTAGGTCCTGCTCTGCAGGAAGTGTTTCTCTTAAGGCACGCAGACCATGTTTAACCAGTTCATTCAAATTGCCTATATGCAATAAATTAAAAATTATTTCATCATCATATAAGACTTTTATTTATCAAGTCTACAGTCTGAAATCATAGCTTTATGACACATTAAATATAGCATAATAAAAACAGCCAAAAATCTAACAGTTTCTAAGTAACTCTCTAGGTTACTGGTAGAATCGAATACCAACTAACAACACTGAAGACAATGTGAGGACAAGTGACTTTTAGTAATAAATCTGACCTGTTCTTTTGCTAGGTTAAATCAAAATCCTGATTCACAAATGCCATTCTAGTTTTGTAGACTGTGTTCTATAGAATGCTCATAGTCATTCTCCACAAAGAGTCTCCAACTCATCTATGTGGTCAATATTACCTTGATCCCAAAACCAAGACAAAATCACCACAGAAAATTACAGACCAGTATCTTATGAATACAGATACAAAAATAGGTGGCATATGCCTCTAATCTCAGCACCTGAGAAACTGGGAGGATGACGAATTTGAGACCAGTTTGGGTTACATAGGGATTTTCAGGTCAATCTCAGCTACAGAGTAAGAGCTTGTCTTAAAATCAAAACCAAAACCAAAACTAAACCATCACCACTACCATCAGTACCACCACAAGAATCCAGCAACATGGAAAAAGGATTATATATAATCAAGCAAGATTTTTCTCAGAAATCCAAAGTTAGTTTAATATTTAAAGTCAGTATAACACAATACATTAATAGACTAAACGGGAAAAAAAACCTTGCATGACCACCTCAGTAGAAGTATAAAATGTATGTGATAAACCCATAACTCCTGTGAATTAACTCTTTAAGTTAGTAACTGAAGGAAATGTCCATCTACAAAGTCTCATGGCTTACATCACACTTAATAGAAAATGCCTGAATGCTTCTCCTTAACATCAGGCAGAAACAAGATTGTGTGCTCTCACCACTTCTGCTCAGACTGCACTGGAAATTCTAGGCAGGGCATTAGAGGAGAAACAAACGCACCCATACTGGGCAGTGAGAAATAAGACTACGGGGTTCAGCAAGGTTGCAGGATAAGAGTTCGATGGACAAATGTCAATTGCTATTTCTTGCAATGAATAATCTACAAATGATATTGAGAAAATTCTGTTTAATATAACATGAAAAGAATAAAATGCTTACGAATAAATTTACAAAAGAAACACAAGACTTATAAAATGGAAATTACACAACACCACTGAATGAAACCAAAGACCTAAGAAAATGGAAAGAAACTCCTGTTCAGGCATTTAGAGACTTATATAGATGTTGCTAACTTACCATGTAGTTACCCACAGTAAACATGAAAGGTAAGTAAAACATTCATCTAGTACACTTTCCCTACTCAATGCTACAGCTTAGCAATGCAGTTTATTGCACAGTATCAGTTTACCTGTGTGGCCCTGTGGCTGGCTGCTACTGCCCTGCATCATGGGAGTATCTTACTGTATGTGCCTAGCCCAAGATAGATCAAAATTCAAAATCTGAAGTTCATTTTCCTCTGAATGCATGTTACTCTCATACCATCATAAAGTCAAATATCCTAAGGTGAGCCATCTTACCTTGGCATCATCTGTATTATAATAGTGGCAGTATTCCCCCAAATGACCTACAGGTTCAATTCAATTCTTACTAATTTTCTATCCAGACTGAAATGAGTTCAGCATGATAGTTCCCAATCAAACTTTGGACAATGAGTTTCCAGTGAGGTTCTCTGGATACAAGTGTCACACACATGCTCCTGTATGTATGCTGTGACCCCCAAAAGGTGAGAGCACAAGAAGCCTACAGACTTCTCTGACTCTTGTCTTTCCCCCAATGACTGAGCTGTGCATCCTTCTCTTACTGCTGGAAGTCTCAGTGAAGGGTATGACCACATGCTGAGTTTTGAGTTCTAGCAAATCACCTAATGTGAAGGTGATTTTGGGAACCCCCAATTCAATTATCATAATTTAAAATGTTATACTGTAAGTACACAGCATTTTCCAATCTTGTCTGGTCCTAAAGCTCCTTTTTCTCAAACTGACTTATTATCCTATAATAGTTGGCTTAAGTAATGGTTAATAGGACTACTACTTTTCTCTGTATTCCCTGAGCCACAGATATTGCCTTCAAAGAATACTGTATTGCCACAGGAAAACTTAGATCCCAAGAGAAATGTTAAAGCCCTGATATCAGCCCTCCCTCCCTTGTGAAGCAAAGCACTTGAAAGCCACCACATGACCTTACATCCTTTACCTTCCTTCCCCACAGCGCCCTGCCTTTTCTTGCTGCTTAAGGACTACTTAATGCAGAAATGTCTGTGCAAATCTGGTTGGGACAGATTCACAGAACACTCAAAAGTTGTAAACAAAGTTACAAACAGCAACTAGCACAATGGTTTTCAACTCTGGCTTGGGCATACTTCAGACCACATGAATCAAAATTTTTCAAGGTTGGAGACACATATAAAGTTCTATTAGTAACCAGAAGAAGTAAGTTCAAGGCCAGCCTGGTCTACATAGTGAGTTCCAGGACAGCTGGGGCTACAGGGAGACTCTGCTTTAAAAAGACAAAAAAAAAAAAAAAAATGTATGTATTACAGAAACAACATTTTATGGGCTTAAGTTTAAAAAAACTCAAAAGACTGATAATTTTCTTCTAAATAAATAAAGATTAATAAAATAAAGATTATTCACCACATAAAAGAACGGAGGAGGCAAAATAAAACAAACTAGTAAGCCAACGTATACTTACACTCCATAAACTCAGACATATGTCTCTCCAAGTAAGTTCGAGCTGACTGAGAACGGGCTCCGATGGACATAGCTCTGCAGTCAAAGTAGTTAGCAGATGGACAGGTTTGGAAAATGTGAGGGCCCATATCCTATAAACAGGGAAAAATACTATGTAATTCTTGACTGTGATTGGGCTAAAATTTATTTTTAGGTTTTCAATCATTAAAATATAGATGGGCCGGGCATGGTGGCGCATGCCTTTAATCCCAGCACTTGGGAGGCAGAGGGATCTCTGTGAGTTCTAGGCCAGCCTGGTCTCCATTAGCGAATCCAGGCCAGCTGCAGCTACAGGGAAACCTTGTCTCAAAAAGACCAAAAAATAAAAAATAAATAAATAAATAAAATACAGATGGATAATCTTCATGATCAACCTGAACTTTGGGTCCACCTGTGAGGTCATTTCCAGAGAGGTTTAAATGAGGAGGGAAGACCCACTATGAGTGTGGATGGCAGCATCCCATGGGTTTTTCCTGGACTTAGTTACAGGAGAAAATAAACTGAGCAGCAGTGTTCGTCTCTTTCTGCTTTCTACTGGGATTGGCCACCTTATGTTAACCAACATGATGGACTCCTCAAACCATAAGCCAAAATAAATCCTTTCCTTATTTTTGTCAGGTACTTTGTCACAGAAACAAAAAATGTAACTAATAACCATAAACTCACATCATAACCAGCAATAAGAAGTCCAACACCATATGGTCTCCGGCCGTACCGTTGTGTTGGTATCTGGGTCTCTTAAACTAGTTAAGGAACTTATTCTAACAAGGAATAAATTACTATCTTTACTTTCAAATTAAGCATAAATAACAAAGTCTCCTCGCTTTTGCCTTAATCATTCCATTAGTATTCCTTTAGCCTAATAGTTAACAAAATTTCAGTTGCCACCTGGCCCAAGAATGAATGTTGACACAATGATCTCTTCCTATGCCAGGATCTCTTTTGGAAATAAGGGGTCTAGGACTTTGGGGTTAACTAGAACCAGTAGGAAACTTCAAATATTCTCTAAATGATGGTTGGATAGTTTTCCTGAAATTGGGCTTATTTATGCCTGGAAAATACCAATTGCACATGAAGGCTAGTAAAAGAGTAGTCCAATTCCTTAAAATTTAACAATCTGATCTATGTTTAAATTATCTTATTCCAAATAAGTAACTTCAAGATTAAGTACCAAAGCCCTTTAAAGTTCACATTCATAATGTTAACATAAAGGATACTGCTTCCAATTAGAGATACAAGGCGAGATACAGGAAGTGGTCTGTCAAATACAAATCTGGAATCCAAACACTCCTGGCGCATAAAATTACTAAAAAAGAAAAACAATGTAAAGTTCATATTACAGAGAACAAATCCAGTCTAAACATTTAAACAAAGCAGTATGATTTCATTCTGCTTTCTTCCAAACATTTTCATGGAGTACATCCATGGACATCAGAAAGGAAAGACGATGGCCAAAAAGCTGCTAAACTCTAGGGCCACATGAAGTTTTCAAAATAAATGACTCAGTCAGGCATGGGGGCTCAAGCCTGTAATCTCAGCACTTGGAGGTAGAGGCAAGAGGATCAGAAGTCTGAAGCCAGCGTAGGCTATGGGAAGTACTATCTCATCATAAATTAACAAATAAGTGAATTAATCCTTATACAAAACCTAGGTTACATAGTACTTACAGAATACAGGAGGCTGAGCAAAGAAAAAAGGGCACCGTCTTCTCTCGTCCTTCCCACTGTCAGCAAGCGCACATCTTAACTTTAGGTCTTGAACCAGACCTATCTACTCTGTTTTTCGTGAAAGCAGATTTACCCAACTACAGCAGTTAAGATATAGAATCCACAGCAGGGAGTACCTGCTCCTGCCAATGTTACCTTTCTTCAAAGCACCACCCTAGAGACACATGCCATTAGATCGCTAAACCTCAGAGATAAGCCTGCTGAGTCAAGAAAGGTCAACAAGGAGGAAAAGGGCATCCGAGCCTATTAAAGAGGATAATCAGAAACAGATAAGCTCCTACTTTTTCACACTGCTTTCCTAGTATACTGCACACCTGATGACCAAGTTTTATTTCTTTTCATTTTAATTTAAATTATTTGTAGTGCTGGAGATCAAACCCTTATACAAGACAGGCAAGACCCCCACTCACAGGCCCCATCCCTAATGGAATGTCGATTAAAGGTTAATGAAGGTATCTGTTTAGCATTTTTTAGTCAATTTCCAAGGTCACCTAAAATTACACTGGTTAACATGGCAAGCACTAATTACATGTGGGTAGTAAGCCTTGAAAAGTAGCTTAACTAAAATGTATGGCAAGTATAAAACACACATTTCACGAACTTCAAAGACTCAAGACTAAAACCACAAATAGCATCTCACTAATAACATTTTCCTATTAAACAATTGCACAGTAATAACTTTAGATAACCTGGTTAAGTAGAATGTGTGATCATTTAACACATAATACATTTTGAGAGCAGACTTGTAATGCTGACACCATTCTACCAACTTAAGAGACTGTCTGAATAACTTAAAACTTTGAAAAATGATGCCGGTGGTGGCGCACGCCCTTAATCCCAGCCCTTGGGAGGCAGACGCAGGTGGATCTCTGAGAGTTCAAGGCCAGCCTGGTCTACATAGTGAGTTCCAGGCCAGCTGGGGCTACAGGGAGACCCTGTCTCAAAAAAAGATCCCCCCCTCAAAAAAAAACTTTCAAAAATGGCATTACTCTTTGTTTTTACTGGTTATATTCTTTCTTTCCTAATCCAAGGACAAACGGGAAAGACTAGCTTGGGCTGCCTTCCATCTTCAACTCTTCCCGTCCATCAAAGTCACTGTGCTAAGAGCACTACATACTAGGTTTACAAGAACCTTCTGAACACACGGAAAAAACTGAAAACAAATTAAGTAACTGGCTCAATCTCAGATACTAAGTGAAGAATTCGATCAGTGTGGCCTCAAAGTTTCACTTACATGCTACTTCTCAACAAGAAATAACCTTCATTCATTTCCTCAGGATGCTCACAGAAATTTACTTATTACTACTCTTCACTTCCCATCGCATGTTATAGATAAAAGAGATTTTAAGCTCCCTGAAGACAAGATCCATATATGAATCACTTTTCTATACTGTACATTATATACTACTGGGCTTTGTGAAAGATGTGTAATAAATATTGATGTATTAAAAAAAAAACCAGAAACAAGGGTGGGGGAATGGAGAGATGGCTCAACGGCTTGCAGAGGACCTGGGTTTGGTTCCCAGCACCCTCGTGGTGGCTAACAACCGGCTGTGACTCCAGTTCCAGGGGATCTGATGCCCTCTTCTGACCTCCTCGGGCACTGCACAACACGGGTGCCCTTATATACATGCAGGCAATACACTCATACACATAAAATAAAAATAATAAATAAAATATTAAAAAAAGAAAACTAGGGTGGTTCAGGTCCTCCTTAAACTCTTCCTAGACATGTACAGCTTCAAACAACATACAGTGCATCAACTATCACATTATTCAGCAACTTCCCAACACTGTCAACAAGTTTATTAATACTACAAGAATGAAAAAATGGAAATACTTAGTACGTCACCCAAACCCACTAAAATGTTCACAATCTTATTATAATCTGGACCTTTTCTAGAAATCAGTTATGAATCAAAAGCGATGTTTGATTTTTCATGATAGTACATACCATAACAGTCTAGCATCAGCAGTAAGACCCGCAATTGAGATTCCAATATGGTTGTCAACATGGAGAATTTTTTTCTGGTGAGCTGCAAGTTCTGACTGTGCCCTCTAAGTAGAGACATTGTAAGATATTTTAGTTTACAACTTTATTATTTATCCAGTGAAACGTACATTTCACAGTTCTGTGTTCTAGAGGAGGAAGATATAAATTACCACTTTACTCACCTTCAGTGCAACCAATACTGCATGGGTTTTGGACTTCAGACCAACTGTGGCTGAACCTTGCTTAACAGCTTCCATTGCATATTCAATTTGGTGAATCCTGCCCTAAAGAGACAAATTACACAGAAGAGTCTTTTACAAATTAAAAATTAGTTTCCAAATCTCAGATGAGCATGATTAAATTTCATTTAGAACCAGTAAATCTACTTTAATGCTAACTTTAAACTCCAGGAATATCTAAAATTATTATATTCCATTTATCACAGCCTACAATCTCACAAGTTTCTTTCTCTTTTTTTTTTATGACAGGGTTTTACTAAGTGGCCTCCAGTTCCAGGATCCACTGGCCTCAGCCTCTTGAGCAATTAGAATTACAGGTCTGCACTACCAAGCCCAGTTTATAATCTTGCAAGTTTCTGAACCTACTGCAACCATGTAAAGCCACTTTATAGATATGGCATAAATTATTTTACCTGAGGGCTCCAAACAGTGACATCATTGTCATACTGGTTACGAAACTGTAAGTGGAAAAAGATATGAACATCACAAATCACAAAATTTGCCACTGACATGTGCTTGTATATGTTTCTATTTGACTTTTTAAAACATTTCTGCTAATGCAAGTTCACTGGAACATTATTATGGTACTCAGTCACAGGTTAAGCCTACATTTACCACCAGCTGAAGGAAGGAGCAGACTGGGACCTTCCCAGTTTCCTATTCTGCCACCTTCCATAGCACTTTCCTCTGCAGACATTTGCTGGTGTTCACATATACCAGTCTTTCCACCTTTCTTACATTGTCTCTCACACAAGGCCCTAATAAATGGCTAAATGCCTTTGCTTGAAATTGGCGCAAACAACTGAAGTTTACCTCTTGAAGTTTTTGTCTTTTCTCCTTAAAATTTCCAGCACATATTCCCACAGATCTTTACATTTCTTTCCCTATTTCTTTTGAAAAACAGTCCCATGCAGCTTAGGTTATTCTCCATCTTGATACGTAGCCAGGAAGATCACCTTCAACTCCTGATCTCCTGACTCAACCTCCCCAGCGCTGAGATTACAGGTGTGTGTGTCATTATCCCTAGCTCTACACAACTTTTTAGTTTTCACATTATGATTAAAGTTTGTCTGATATTCATTCAGGAAGTTGAGGCCATCCAGAGCTCGAATGGTAGGCAGGATGAAGAGGCCCAGAGACATACTCTGTAAACCTGATTCCATCCTTCCGGAAATCCCTTCCCTTCTCGTCCTAGTTTACGCCTCTGTAAACTGGACAGAGAAATTGAAAGAAGGCTTTTTTGATGGTGCTTTAGGATGAACCGAAAGGACTCGAGGAAATGGACAAGGTCTAGGAACCCAGCCGGTAGGCTCAGGCTCGCACTGGCGGTGCCAGGAGGCGAGGTCCCATCTTTATCGTGTCCCTCCCATGCATAAGCACGGAGGACCGCGCAGGTTCACCGGGAATGGGCCACTGCAGGAGCCCGCGGGACCACCCGGGCGAACTGACCCAGAAAGACGCGTCCAGGCCCCATGGAAAGGGAACGAAGCCGCGCAGGAAAAGGCCGCCGCGGCCTCCGACCGCCGGGCACCGGCCAGGCCGTAGATGCTGAATCACCGCCGGAGCACCGAGGTCCCGGCGTCCGCCCAGCTCCCCTGCCCTGCAGCCCCGCGCCGCGAAGGCCCCGGGAGGCCGACCCCCGCCCCCCGGCAGCGGACCCCCGCCCTAAACCCGGGTTCAACGCACCATAGCTCCGGCGCTACAAGAAGCTGGTACAGCTGCGGATCCAGAAGCACAGCCCGAACTACCGCTCGGCGATCGACAGCGAAGCCTGCGAAGTTTTGACGGCGGCGGCGCAGGTAGGGCAGTCTATTCCAGAGACATCGATAGGCGTTAACGCTTTCCCCGCCCTCCAGCTGAGGTGGGCGGGGCTTGGACGACGGAGGAATTGAGATTGGCAGGCAGCCCGAGGGGCGGGTCTGAAAGGCTCCACGTCACACACCGCGTTTTCTCAGCGTGTGGCAGATACCCGCCAAATCAGATATCGACGGATGTGTGTTTCAAGCATCTGGACCCTGAGCACCCGGAGCCCTGGGCCTTCGTAGTCGCCCGGGAAGGTCTTCCTATCCTGGTTCTTGAGCTCATCCTTCCAGGCGCCACGGTCGCGCCGCTCGTGGTGGGTGGTGGGAGACCTTGAACTGCTCTGGAACCATCGATTTCCGTCTGCCCCCCGCCCCCCCCCCAAACGTGGGGAAAATGAGGCCCCACGGGGAGGAGGTCGGTTTCTTCGGAATCTTTTGTTTTGAGCATCTTTTCGTTTAATCCTCTAATCAAGCCCAGCTCAGCAACAGCTACCTACCTGACAGCTACCAGGGTTAGGTGTCTTGATGATGATGATGATGGGGAGGATGGAGATTCGGGGAGGGAGGAGCCCAAGAGAGCTGAATCTTGAACGTGAAGAAGCCTCATTTGATTTGTTCAAGCGCACAGCAATTGAGTACCACATTCTAAACGTGTGTGTATGTATATAATGTGTGTGTATACATATATTTGTTTTAACATTTATTATGTATATTTTGGGGAGGGTTCTACTTTGTTTCTCCAATGCTGTGACAAAACACTCTGACCAATACCAACTTGGGGAGGAAAGGGTTTATTCAGCTTACATCTCCCAGGTCACAGTTCATCTCTGAGGGAGCCCAAGGTAGGAATTCAGGGCAGGAACCTGGATGCAGGAGCTGGAGCACAGGCCATGGATGAACACTGCTTACTGGCTTGGCCCCCTGGCCTGTTCTCAGCCTGCTTTCTAATACAACACATGACCATCAGCCCAGGAATGGCACCACCCACAGTGGGCTGGGCCCTCCCACATCACTCAATAATCAAGAAGATACCCCACAGACATGGCCACAGGCCAGTCCAATAGGACAATTCCCCATTGAGGCTCCCGCTACCCAGCTGTGTCAAGTTGACGACCAAAGCTATCCAGCACAGGGAGGTTCATTTACTGGGCATGTGTGTAGGTCAGAAGACAACTTGGGAGACTTGGTTTTCTCCTTCATCACGTTTTCCCTGAGATGGAACTCAAGTCATCATCCTTGACAGCAAGTGCCCTGCAGAGCAGCTGAACCATTTTGCTGGTCTGTGTTTTGTTTGTTTTCAGAGACAGTCTCACTCTCTACCCCAGGCTGGCCCCAGACTTTCAGTCCTCTTCCTTAGCCTCCTAAGTGCTGGGGTTAACAGGCTGTGAGCCACCACACTGAGCTCGTGTATTTATTTTGAATATCAATCTGTGTTAAACATTTTCCAGGTCAAATGCTATTCTCTTCATCCTCTGCATTGTGGACATACAATGTTTACTCAGATCTCCACTGTTCAATAGGTTTCACCCAAACTCATTTATAGGCTACACAGTAAATTTTTGGGTACACCTATACACTTTTCTTTAGAATTACTAAAAGCTGAATTGCAGGCCCAAATGAAATAGATACTTTTAAAGGTTTTGGATTAAGAATGTTTCGTTGTCCCTCAGAATTCTCTCTTTATTAATTTATACGCTTTCAACAGTGGCTTGTGAGATTCACCAGCATTAGTTCTTGTCATTTAAAACAAAGTATGACTAATTTTAAACTGATAGATTAGTCCACTTTGTTTGCCCAGCATCTAACACAATGCCTAGCACATATTAAGTGCTTAATACATATGCTGAATAAATAATAAATGTTGAATAATGGTTAAATGATCATTTAAAATTTGTTATAGAACAAACATTTATGGAATGCTATGCCATCTTGTCAGACTCTTATTTTGATTGAAATGTGACAGTTCCCATAACTACAGTAGTTTGGTTTCCAGGACAAAAGTAACTTGTTGCTCTAGATTCTCAGATTCTTACCTTTCCTGCCCCATCAACCCCCAGTAATAGCAGACCAGGAAAGATGTTTATCCATCATCTGACATTCTTTAACCACTCACTAGTTACTCATAGTAGAGGCCAATTGAGTACAAATATGGGAAATTTTTCATTCTTCTTCCTAACCTCCTTCCTGTGAAAACTATTAGAAAGGATTCTCACTCTGCCACATGGGCCTGACTTCTCATAGCCCCTATCAGCCTGCTGTTTGCCTGTCTGTTTATGGCATCAATATCTCTTCTAATACATCTCTTATAAAAGGACAGTTCATGTCAGTGTCCCCCTTGAACTCTAAATTTGAAACTTTTCAATGTGCCTCAAGCAAATATGTAATTTTTATTGTTAATTTTATTTATTTTATGTGCATGGGTGTTTTGCCTGCATCTATTTAGAAGTGCACCCATGTCATGCAATGCCCGTGGTGGCCAGAAGAGGGCATCATAGTCCCCTGGAACTGGAGTTGCTGCAGCTAGTAAGCCACTATGTGGGCACTGGGAACCAAACCCAGGTCCTTTGCAACAGCAGGCAGTGCTCTTAACTGCTGCGCCATCTCTCCAAGCCTCATAATTTTTAAAATAAATATTTACTAAACTGTTTTGTGATTATAACTTTTGTGTACTTTCTTGATTACCACTTTCTGATGAATTTCTAAAACTGTGATACCAAAGGGAAGACATTTTACAATTACAATAAATAATAGATCAGTTGCAAGATTGAATATCAATTTATATTCTGCTGTGCCTGAGAGGCCACTTTGTTTATGCCTTCACCAACACTATATGTTGTTAACTCCTATCTTGTCAAGTTAAAGATTTTTTTTAAAAAAAACTTGAATTTGTCATTTAGATACCCAACCCAAAGTGACACATCAACAATGGAGTCTCTATACCTAAGGCTCACGGAACGTGGAACAGGGGATGGAGAGAATACTAATGCATCTCTCAACCCGCATCAGTGAAGCTTCCTCTTGCAACAGAGGGCGATCAACATAGAAGGCCACAACCAGCTGAAGTGTAGAAAATAACAGACTGTAGAGTGGGTGTCCCTGGATAGGACACCTGTATTAAACCTCAGCCACCCAGGGCTCATGGACCATTGTGGAAGAGAGGGTAGAAAGATTGTGAGAGCCAGGGTTGGTGCATCATTGGAAGGAAATAGAGTCCTTCAGGCTCCTGGGACTTGGCATCTCTCCAGGCATTCATAGTCATTGGGACCAGGTCTGGCATGTGATATAGCAGGTGCTCACTATGTCTCCATTGAATGAAGAGTGATAGAACTATCATTCCTAAAACTGTCCTTTTGATTTCCATCTCCTCAGCACATGCCTGGCATTTTGAGATGCATCCTTCATTCAGCAGACTCTGAAGAGTGGTTCGTCACAAACTCTACTTTTACGCTTAGAGGCCAAGTGGATATTGGTTTTGGTCGTTTTTTTTTTTCCCCCTCTAAAGACTTAAGGTCCTAAAGTACATGTTCAGTTTCAGCTAATATGCCTATTGCTTTTTTGGGGGTGGGGGATGGGATCTTTATATAGCACCAGATGGCCCAGGACCCACTGTGGACACCAGGCTGGCTTTGATCTCACAGAGATCCCCCCTGTGTGCTACCACACTTAATTCAGAAGTAACTTCTAATAAAAGCAAAACTGAAGCGTTTTCTCATGGACTTGTGACTCACTGTGGTGGTCTGCTTAGCAGCCGTGACCCTATGCTGAATACATGACTGTCCTCCTGCCATATGCAAATAGATTTGTTCCCTCCTTAAATCAAACCCAGTGTGGACTTCACGCCTCCATGCTCTTTGATGACATCCAGCACAAATTTTGTGACATTTTTGGTCATTCAAGTGAAAAAAAAGTCAACTAATCTAAAGTTAAGTAGTCAATTACCAAATGCAAATCAGTAATACATTCAGTATAATACGATGTTGAAGGAGAGGCTTCTTGCTTTACCTCACTTGAGCCTTCCAGAAGGGGAAATGGTTGACCTGTGTGTCTGCCTACGTTGTTCTTTCAACACTCTCTCCCATCACCGTCACCACCTAGGCTACCTTCTAAGGTGAGGCAGAGGAAGGTAAGTTCTGAAGTCGCCTGCTTCAGTCGCTCCCTAAGGGCTGGTACTCCGAACTGGCTCATGTTTATTCTTAACCCTTGTTGCTTCTGGGGCTCTGTGGAAACACCTCTTACCTCCCTGAGACAGTATTGGTCATCTCTCACACTTGGGTAAACAGGTCTCATCTGGCTGTTAGCTCATTGCTAATTGCTAACACCTGTGGGTACATAACCAGTTTCTTTGTGTGGAATTTTCTTTATCCTTCTATGGGACTGCTTTCGGTAGCTTATTATGATCTAAAGAAACACCTACAGAGCAATGGTTTGCCTCATACCTCAGAAACTGCGGACTTTGACCAAACCCCAAATTCATTTTTGCAATTCATCAGCCAAGATTTCCACTGGTTTGTTGGCATTACGAAGGCAGAGAGTTTTACTCTGTTTTGCTCACTGTTTTCTTGCTTGCCTAGAATACTGGCTGTGTGTGATACAACTACATAACTACTGATGGAACAGCTGCCTCAGATATGGGCCAGGCACTGTCTCCACAGTCATATATCAGAGTTCCACTAAAGCCTTGAAGCTCTTTCCTTAGGGATGGGTTGAGGAAGAAGCTATTTACTCATGGCGCACCCAAATTCTTAAAAATCCTCTAAACTCCCATTTTCCTCTCTGACCTAGGAATAAGTAGACAGTTGAGAGTTGCAAAAACAGCCCCTTTCCCTTTTAATGAGAATTTCTACTTCCGGTGGTTTTCCATTTTATGGTAGAGTAGTTGACATTTTCCTTTTTTGAAACTTCAGCCAAAATTGAGACAGAGCCCCATTTTACATCCTGCTACACACACGATACTTAATTCCACTTACTTGTTTACATGTTGTCTCTGTATATTAAATCATAAGCCTCTGGAATACAAAAACTATGC